AGTTTTTGGATTGGTCGATAATATAAAATTCTAGTTTTGTTTGGAACTTGCATGGGTGGAGCCACGTCAGGGCCATAGGCCCCGGCCCCGCTTTTCCACGGGAGTTTTTTGAAGAGCCAAGTGTCATCGGTTTAGGCATTTTTTTTTGCCGCCCCATGGCAGTTAGCTGCTGTTGCGTACAACAATCGCCAAGTAAGACCATATAAGTGCTCTCCTGCATTTGTTGCTCATTACGTCTCTCAAGCATTTCTCTATTCTTAAAGCACTGACGGGCATCGTACTGAATGATGTAGAAGCTCATACACAATGTCATAAAAAATGAGCTCTACATGCACAAGCACTTCATATCATTTTTCATCTTATTTGTTGGCTTCTCTTGCTCATGGAAAAGCGCGACATGGAAGGTAGTAACAACTAGCTAGGTGTAGCATGAGAATTTTTTTTAATTTTAACACTTTTTGAAAACTAATTTTAAAACTAACACTGTCTGTTTTTTTTAAACTAACACTTTTGACCGTGCCTATTGTCATGGTGCGGCCAAAAGCCTGTGCCGCGCCATGCATGGTGGCGCGGCAGGGGGCTGACGTGGCGACGACCATAAAGGTTGACGGTTGACGTGGCAGGGCCTGCCGCGCCACCCATCTTGGCGCGGCAGTGCCGCGCCACGGAGCATGGCGCGTCGGTACCTATACGGTTTAATCGGGACTTTCTGCGCCAATAGTGGGAGTTACTCTAGGTATTGCTTGACGTAAAACCAACAGTGAATTTGTTTCTATCTTTTGTTGAATTTTTTTCACGGCCGAATAGAGAATTTGATAAGCCAATGAATTTTTTCCGTCTTTCATAATACGGTTAACCACTATGTTAACTAATTGATTATGAAAAATTGGATTGGATTGAAACGAATATTTTTTAAGGGAACTTATTTTTTTGGCTTTTTAGCCCCATATTGTAGGATCGGCAGCGACGCGACCATGGACCCCGGCGTCGAGATACCCCGGGACTGCCGCTTTCCGAACTAGTTGCTACTTAATCTCACCGGCAGTGCTGTCGCGACGCATTGAAACGAATATGAAGCAAATAAATGAAGTCCGTGCGCAAGTTGACAAGCTGCCACATAACATATTCATTGGTTTGACATAAGTTCGACATAACAAAACCAACTAAGCCTGCTAGTTTCGGACGCCAATATTGATTCGACCTAACAAACTAAGACCTAGGAGTGTAAGGATCCCTCGGACGCCTCTGTCTCTTTGGATTTGTTGGCAACATATTGGGATTGTAGCCAATGTCAGTGTGGTCGCGTCGCCGGTGCGTACGGCTCGTACCCTACAAGTATATGATATGCACGATTACTTAGAATTATTTATGATCGTTAGTTCATGTAGCCTACGTATTTAAAGAAACTACCTTTGTTAGTACCTATGAGGCTCCTTGGGTACCAAGCGGGGCACCACCAAGCGGAGACATGCCGATCTCGTCCTGCGGCCAATCATCCCACTGGTCGTGCTGTCTGCGAAAGCCCGGGGGGTCGTCGTCGTCGTCATCATCGTCCTCGGTTGCAGGGTCCTTCCCAGCGCTATGATGTGGTGGTGTACGCACCGCGGAAGTGGTACCTGTCACCGGCTGAGAAGAGCCGGCTGGTGTCCCCAAAGAGGTTGAAGACGTGCCACCTGACCGCGCCGGGAGTGACGGTTCCTCGTAAGGAGTGTCCATGCAGCTCAGCTTTTGAGCTAGCTTCCCGCAGCTCTTCTTCATCTTCTGCATAAATAGACGTTAAAGTTAATGTATTTCCCAAACGCATATACATTAAAGAAACATTTTCAGAATGGACAAGTTTATGTTTACCTCCACAAAAGCCTCGAGAACGCCTGGTCCCTGCCCTCTAAACTCGTGAAGCCGGAACGCTGCTTCGTTGGACAGCCTCGACAATTGTGTCGCCTGGTTACAGAAACGCGGTTGAACAGTTTTAGTATATATACTTAATACCAAATGGATAACAAATTGTACCATTCAAGTATCTTACCACGTATCTTTGTAGCGGGGCTCTTTGTAGCTGTGTGTCCTCTCTAGTGGCAACGTCGTATACATCTTCGATCATATCTTTCTCTGAGTCCTCGTTAATCGCCTCCTCAGTGTACGGAGGCTTGATATGTGTCCTCTTAAACCTGTGAAGCCACAGCAGGTACTCGTCGAAGGTGTGCTGGTCGTGTGGAGGACCCGCATGGATCAGCTGCCGTTCCCTAGTCTCCCATAAGTGGATGTGCGCGTTGTGTGTCACGCGCCAATCCTTGGTCTTGTACCTCTTCCTACGGTCATACCTGTAACAAAACGATGTTAGTTGTACCACACACACCTCTAAATTGTAGCTTTGTTATTAATCGATAACGCACCCGTGCAATCCTTGTTTGCTGGAGTAAAGCGGTGGTGGGCAGCCTATTATTCTTCCAAACTATGTGCAGACCCTGATGGGCAAGTGAATCTCGACCACGTGGAAGAAAATAAGAGGGACGTTGCAGCGATACTCCTCTGACTCGTCCCTAGTGACAGGACTGAGATAGTACTGGAGCTCCGGAGCATCCTAAGGACACCAATGCACCTGAACATTTCGTAAATGAGTTAGGCTGTGATATAGTGTATATTGAACAAGATACAGGTATGATAGTAAAGAGAGCGTAACCTAGTGCTATGTCAGGACGTCGAGACCGTCTGTGTACTTCCTATACTTGCGTCTCGCATTCCCTCTAACTAACTTTGATTCTGTCCAGATATACAGAGCTGTAGGGAGTGTATCCTGCCCGTTCCATTGTTGTATTGAACACGATAATGAATTAGCCATTAATAAACTCATCATATGTAACCATATCGAAGAATATAATGAACCGAAGTACTTACTAGTAAACCAGTATTAAGGAGCCTCCCAACGGGCCATCGTTCCCAACACCAAACCTGGAGTAAGTACGAGCAACTCTCAAGGTTCGCATACCCTGAGGTGTGATGGCAGGCAACGCATAGCTGTCGATACGTCCATGCTAGAACTGCGCTGCCCTAGCTGTACGCCGCTATGTTCTCCCACGGCTGGCGTAGTATGTCAAGGAAGATCTAGCTGATGGTGTTGCCCGAGGCGTCTAGGAAGAGAAAAGCACAAAAAAAGTGTCAGAGCCACACTCGAGCAAACCTGTCGATCTGAGCCTCCTCAACCTGTGGGTCCAAGTAATCAAAGCGCTCTGTGATCCAGGACGACGAAACACCGGAACTTTTCCTGAAATTGACCAAAGAAAATAAGACCCGATGGCTACAGGAAAGTAATGCAAGTATTAAATAGCCTTGAATTTCTCACTTATTTTTCTTGGAAGTCGCGTCGTTCGGTGGAAGAAAGCCAGAAAACTGAGCCCCCAGATCCCTCCAGTGATCGTTGTCAACTATCGCTGTCACTGGAAGCCCCCCCAACCGAAGGCCAAAAATAGCCTTCACGCCCTACATGGTCAAGGTCATCTCGCCACAAGGTAGGTGAAACGTGTGGGTCTCAGGCCTCCACCTGTTATAAGAATAGAACGATTGTTAGTTGACTCAAATTTGTTACAATAATGTTTACGTACAAATAAGGCACTCATACCTGTCAATAGCTGCAGTAAGTAGTGCTGTGTCAAGGGGCGGAGGACCGTAGTTGACAACATGGACAAGCTCGAGGAAACCGGCACGCCGTATGTACGGAGCGTAACGCTCGTCCCACTGGTGCACCCTGGTGTGCGTGCGGGGCCTCAAAGGAGGCAAGGCCACCTCTACGTCGTTGTCACTCAAGATGTATGCTCGGTACTAGTCGTCATACTCCACCTCAAGAATGGGGTACAACGGGTGCTGCGTGGGAGGAGCCATCCTGTAACAAATTGATAAACAAAGGGTTAGAGTATTCAAATTAACAAAATTTAAATTAACATTATGTAGCATTGTAAAATTTGAACTACTTGTTATGCAATACGAACACAATCTGAAAGCACATGTATATATTCAAAGTAACATTAACAGACATATTGAACAACTTCACTACGAATATAAGCATTTGACGAAACTTCATACTACAACACACAACCTCAAACCTAAAAACTAAATAACTAAATAACTAACTATAAACTAAATAATAAATACCTAACTATCCAAACTATACTACAACACACAACCTCAAACCTAAAAACTACCTACCTAAATCACAAACAAATTCACTAACCTAACTATCCTAAATCACTAACTATCTTAAATCACTAACTATCATAAATCAATAACAATTATAAAACCCTAACTATCCTAAATCACTAACTATCCTAAATCACTAATTATCCTAAATCAATAATAATCAAAATAGCATGAAATCGAGAGAAAGGTACCTTGGTAGGAGCGGGCGTCCTCGACGCGCCGGCGTTCGTGGCGCGACCGGCGCGGGCGCTGCACGGCAGGAGTGGGCGAGGCGCGGCGCGGCGTGGGCGGGCGGGCGGCCGTCCGGGCGCGCTGGCGGCGGGGCGCTGCGCGGCGACGGGGGGGGGAGATGGTGTGCGGGCGGGCGGGCGGGCTCGCTCGCGATATTTATCTAGCCCTGCCGCGCCATGCTCCGTGGCCCGGCACTGTCGCGTCAAGATGGATGGCGCGGCAGGCCCTGCCACGTCAACCGTCAACCTTTCCGGTCGTCGCCACGTCAACCCCCTGCCGCGCCACCATGCATGGTGCGGCACAGGCTTTTGACCGCGCCATGACAATAGGCGCGGTCAAAAGTGTTAGTTTTGAAAAAAAAAAACAGACAGTGTTAGTTCTTAAATTAGTTTTTAAAAAGTGTTAAAATAAAAAAAATGCTCATGCTACACCTAGCTAGTTCTTACTACCTTCCAGGTCGCGCTTTTCCATGAGCAAGAGAAGCCAACAAGTAAGATGAAAAATGACATAAAGTGCTTGTGCATGTAGAACTCATTTTTTATGACATTGTGTATGAGCTTCTACATCATTCAGTCCACCTATGTTGTGGACTTGCGGTTGCGGAGCAGCACCTCATTGACAATAATGTCCAGATTGGTTTCCGCAGACCCACCCAACATTGTCGCTCGAATGGCCTTCTCCTTCCAGTCCGCGGCACGCCGGTGCATCTCCTTCCCCTTGTCCCCGCCCATGGCCTCTCTTATCATCTCTGCCAGCTCTGCGCGTCTCACCTCGCCACCGATCTCCATCCCGACGCCCCACTCTGTACGCACGTACCGGCAGTTGGTCTGCTGCTCCGCGAAGAAGGGCCAGCTGAGCATCGGCACCCCCGCGCTGATGCTCTCTAGAGTCGAGTTCCACCCGGAGTGCGTGAGGAACAGCCCCACCTCCTCATGCGCCAGCACAGCTTCCTGCGGGCACCATGTCGTTAGCATGGCCCGGTCCTTCACGGAGGACAAGAACTCCGGCGGCAGCACGGCGGTGTCACCCTTCACAAGGTCTGGCCGGATGTTCCACATGAACGCGTAGCCGCTGCCAGCTAGCCCCCACGCGAACTCCAGTAGCTGCTCGTTCGACATCACGGTGATGCTTCCGTAGTTGACGTACACAACGGAGCCCGCCGCCTGGCCGTCTAGCCACTCGAGGAGGCCACCCTGCTCCTCCCAGAGGTTGGAACCGAGGGCATCGAGCTGGCTGCCCTCCGTGACGGCGCGGCGCGCGTGGAGGAGCAGCGGACCAACAGTGTACATCGGAGGGAGCGTCGCGCGCAGGGCGTCGAGCGTCGGCGCCTCGAGGTCGTCGAAGGTGTTGATCATGATGGCGTCCGGGAGCGACAGCCGCTCGGCCTCGTGGATGAAGAAGTTGAGCATGATGTCGCCGCGGTCCGTGGTGCGGATGAAGGTGGGGAAGTCGCGCAGGCGCACGCCATCGCACATGCCGCGCGCGCCCCGGACCACGGTGTCGAGGTACGCGTCGTCCGCGAGCTGCGCGTCGTCCCTGAAAGGGACGAGGCCCCACTGGACGAGCTGCTGGTAGTGCCGGTACCCCGCGAGGCCGCACGCGCTGGCGGTCCAGAGCGCGGCGCACGGCACGCCCAGCTCTTTCGCCGCGTCGTAGGCGAACGACATGACGCCGTCCACGATGAGGCAGGTGACGGGTGGCACGCCAGGGTCGTCGTTGAGCTTCCTGAGGAGGGACAAGAGGCGCGGGAGGCAGGTGGTCATGGTGGAGTAGCAGAGCGCGGGGACGTCCTGTGTGGAGTTGGCGTCGGAGGGCGGGAGCCCGTCGGGGATGGCGGCGTAGCGGAACCTGGGGATGCCGTCGAGCGCGGAGGGGCCACGCGACTGGAGCAGGCGGCGGTGGTTGAACTCGGTGTTGACCATGGTGACATGGAAGCCCCGGGCGTGGAGCAGCTTCGCGAGCTTGAGCATCGGAGTGACGTGGCCCTGCGCCGGGTACGGCACGCACACTACGTGCGGCGGCATCTCCACTCCCTCAGGCCCCGTCGAACCCATGACCGTCGTCTGAGCGAGCGAGCTGCGCACAGATGGTACGGTAGGACCAGGATTCAGGCGCAGGACCAAACAAAATCGATCAAAGTCCTCCACAGGAAAATCTACGTAGCTATAAGAGCACAGTTTTGGGTTTCTTGATTCTCCGGAGGTAACCTGTTTATATACTCCAGCAGTACAGCAATCATCCAACAGCGGTTCGTTGCGGCCAAGAGACCAACGTACAAAAAATCGCTCGCTCGGTCAATATCACTGGTGTTGACGCGCAAAAATGTATCAACATGGAATTGGGTTCCTAGCCCTTGTCGATCGGATCTTATTCGGCGTCAACTATTGGCCAATAAGCCCTGCCGCGCCGCGTCATTGAGGAAACGGGCAAAATGATGTAGCACGGTATCTGCTCCGGGCATCGTGGTGTTCAAAGGACCGCCGATGCGCCTGGCCGGCAATCGCGACCTGGAGGCTGGAACCCACGCCCGACATTGAAACGGACATCACCCGTGACGAACTTGCTTTTTTTTTCGCACTAAAACATGAAGCTCACGAACTATTTAACTATACTTCCTCCTTTTTTTATCAGGTGTCGCGTTTGATTTTGGTACACAGACCAAGGTGGAGATAAACTCCGAGTTAGACGGGGTCGTGTCTGTGCTCCATCCGATTTGCTGCTTCGAACCCAGCGCTATCGTCGCTCTATCTCCTTTCTGTATGGCTGCGTGCAAACTAAGTCACGCAAAGCGTCCAGAATCGCCCAGTTTGTTGGGGCTTGTTTCACTTATAAGCCATAACTAAAAGTATCATTGGTTGGTTTGATGTGAAAAAAAAAATACTATTTGATGGCTGATAAATCATAGCTTATAAGTCAAATACGACCTAGCGAACGGACCGAATATTCCCGGCCCTGCCGCCCAGCACTTGCGCATGCAGATTTAATGGCGTGGAACTAAGCGATTAGACTAGAGTACGACATCTGATCGCGACTTTGAACGCGAGTATCCTAAATTTTCCTTCAAAGACTCTACGCCCTGTTCGTTTAGGTTTGTTTGACTGATAAGCCATGACTGAAAGTACTGTTGGCTGATTTGGTGTGAGAGAAAAATATTGTTTGTTAGCTGAAAAAGTACGATTTATAAGCCAAACAAGCTCAAACGAACAGGGCGCATGTTTTCCAACTCCTAAAAATCTATTAGGAGAAAAAAAGACCATCTCTAATAGTTTTTAATAACTCATTCCTAAAATATAGAAGGCAATTTTACATCAGAAATCATATATTATTTCTAAATTATTTTAACCAATTTTATATATTCTTTCTCTCTTGTATATTTGCATCTGGAACCCTTTCAAGCTCTTTATTCTTTTTCTGCACTAACACCTTTAATTGGCCGAAGAATACGGGTGTATCCACGCGACCACGACTCCGCGCAAAGTTAAGCGTGACGGGGGAGGATTTCCCAAATACGTAAATTTTAGAAGGAAGGAATATGAGTTGTTAGAGAGGGATTTTTTTTCCTATGTTGCCAAAGACCAAGGATTGGAAAGCGAAATAGGGTATCCCCGGAGATGCTCTAAGAGAGTTTGGTTAAAAAAAGTTACAATGCAACCCAACGCGGAGGCTTCAGGTGTACTCCCTCCATCCCAAATTATACATTCTTAACTTTTTGGAGAGTCAGGGCTTGATTGGTTCGCTTTCAAAATTTGTCATGCCAATGATTTGGCAAGCCATGATGATTTTGGCTAGTGTTTGGTTTGCTACCAAAACTTGTCAAACTCTCACATTTAGCTTGCCAAATCTATGGCAATGTTTTTGCTCAACTTTTGACTTTCTAAATCTTTGGCATGGCAAATTTTGGATGTCAATCAAGCAGGCCCTCAAACTTGAGATATTTTAACTCTCTAAGAAAACTAAAATGACTTATAGAAATGGTGGAAGTAGTAAATAGGAAGGCAGAGACCCACAAAGATTGAAGTTGTGCCTTCTATCATCTCGAGCAACAAATGTGACCAATGATGGTAAAAATGTCTTGCATGCTACCGTTGGGAATAAATCCACGCCCACCTTGCATTGCAAGGAGATATTTGAAAGAAGTAAAACTATGTATGGTATGAGTTCTGCAGGGTCAGGCATATGAACGTCCACCTTGGATGTTGATCTATGGAGGAAGTTTCGGCTTCTACATTTGAGTAGTTTTTATCTTCTCGTCTTTGGCTTTCCTGGCGTTTGAGTAGTAGTCTTCGGGTTACGTATGTCTTTTTAGCCTCAGTTGTTTCTCTTTTAGTGTGTTACTGGGTAGCGTGTCCGTACGCTGCTACGGGATAACTAAATTTTTTTTATTAAAAACATACGGATAGCACGATAAGATAACAGTACTGTTAAATTAAATATCGACGTCAAAGTGACATTTAATTCAAAAAGCAAAGTTCGTAAAATTAACACAGTCACGGAGAGCGCGACGTCGTAGGCTCAAAAATTCTACTGTATAGACTTTTTCGTGATACGGCTAAGATAATATTTTATATCGGCAAAAAGATATTCTACGATATCCATTTCTTTCATGCGCCAATAAATTCATGAATAAGTTCTGTTGAATCTCCATATAATTATGTACATACATGTTCGAGTGTATATGCAAATAGGTTCATACCCATACGTTGGTACGGAACAACTAAACTTTTATATTAAAAACACACGGATCGCACGATAAGATAACAATATTGTAAAAGTATATGACCGACGTTAAAGTGATATTTAATCAAAAAGCTAAGTTCGTGAAATTTACACAGTTACAGAGAGTATGGCGTCGCAGGCTCACAACTCTACTGTGTAGATCTTTCCGTGATGCGGCTAAGATCATTTTTTATACCGGCAGGAAGAGATTTCCGATATCCATTTCTTTCGTACGCCAATAAATCCACGAATAAGTTCCACCACATCTCCATACCATCCTGTACACGGCGCTGGCAAGCGAATTAGTCACATCTTATGTAATTAGTTTTATAATTAGCTCATGTTTAGTCCTCCTAATTGATATCTAAAAATTCAATGTGACAGGGACTAAAGTTTGATCCTAGGATCTAAACACCCCCTGACTCTTGACTCCTGCTGGCTGCTCACTTGCACCATTATGTCTATATGTCTGTACGTATATACTCTAATGCCAGAACGTCTAAGATGGTCTTTATTGTCCACCCTTTAAAAATATCATAACTTTAAGGTTGCCATTTGTGTATGCTGTAGGATTTTTGGATGTTTTGCACTGATTTATGAGGGTGTCCATGAGAGTCGAAATTTTTGATGCCATTTTGACGTCTATGCTTACCAATCAGACAGAGACGAACTTGATTGTTAAAATATTTTCAACACTGCTTTCATGTACTCCCTCTGTCCCAAAATAGAATTCATTCTCACGTCCTGAGAAATTAACTTTTTTTTAACTTCGACCAATTATATATAAAAGAATATTAATATTTGTAATACATAATTAGTATCATTACATAGAACATTGAATATATTTTCATAATAAACTTATTTGAAGATATAAATGTTGCACGTATTTTTTATAAACCTAGTCAAAGTTGAGAAAGTTTGACCTGCACGCATCCCATAACGACTTATATTTTGGGGCAGAGGAAGTATATGCTAATGTGAGTAGTCAACTGGAAGTCGTGATGAACACAACAATACTTTCATATTATATGCTAATAGAAGCACGAAGAAACGCAGGGGAATGGACCTATATACTAATAGTGGAAATATTGGTTTAGGAAATTACAGAAGATTCACCAGTCTCACCATGTATAACCTGCACATCTTTTATTTGGCACCATTGATGTTCTAAAGGAGCAGCCACTTTTTAATTTCAGGTCTGCATGCTGGAAACACTAAAATTAAGGGTCAACCTCATTGAATCGTCTTACTTGATCTTTGCCAATTGTCTTACTTAAACTTTACGAACAAATTATATTATTGGCAAAGACTAACACATAAAGAGGTAGAAGTTGCAAGAATAAAACTAGGTGGCCTACTATGCACCCAGTCTAAATTTAATACCCTCCAAATTATGGAGAATACTATATGAACTGTTGTAACCGACATGTTAACTCCATCATGTAGTACACCTAAGTATTAAACATGCACATGCATAGTTTTTTTTATCATAGAATATATTTTTGTCCTATGAGACAACATAATTTTTTTTTCTAAGTGATAGCAGAGAGCCCAAAATATTAGACATAAACTCTTATTTTACTATCTCTGCATCTGCTAAAAATTTAACAGAAGTTTAGTTAATCTATGGAATAATTTGGATTGTACTTTTTGTACTGCCCCAACAATTCTTTTACCAAGCATATACAAAATCTAGTTAACAGCATTCGATCCGCAATCAAAATTCATTACCTTGGTATCCGAGGGTCATAATATAGAAGGTTTGCCGAGTGCCTGAGATTTGACACTCGGCAAACGCGTCGTGACCGTTTCCACTCCGTCGCGTTACTTTTTTCGCCGAGTGTTGGTTTCAGCTCTCGGCAAGTCTTTGTCGAGTGCCCGATAGAAACACTCGGCAAAGAGCCGTTTGTCGGCACTGTAGATGTCGTGTGCTGTTTGTTGAGTGTTACACTCGACAAATCCTTTACCGAGTGTTTTTTGGGTTTTGCCGAGTGCCTGTGACACACGACAAAGCGACTGTTTCCGGTAGTGGTAGTGACCTGTAGCACAACTGGTAACCTGGCACGTCGACGATAATTGTGCAAGAAAAGTAAATTTGGCATTCTACATGTTATTGAGACATCTTTGTCTTAACTGCAGTTGCTTCAGCTTTCTCCCACACAAATTCTTCAACATGCTAAGGTGCACCAGAAGCCACCGCATCATAATCTGAAAGGAGCTGCAACATTTACACACAAAAAAAAACAATTATCCTATTGAAACTAACAAATTGCAAAATCTTATGTTGAATTCTGTTGAATTACTCTATAAAAATCTCACACTGTGCTTTTGGATTGGT